CCCATTTTGTTTAGTGCGAAGCACTCTCAGCAGATTGGTCTGCTTCTTTGCATGTGTCAGAATAGCAACAGAAATTGATTCCCTTGGAAAATGGAAAATAAGTTTCACACTTGGAAAATAAAATAGTAATAACCACATGACAAAATTTCAGATGCATGTGATAAACTAGATTTATCATCAGTTTTGTACCATTCACACCTGAAATTTGCCCATTAATCCACCTCATTTGAGGCTTACTTAATGTTTCATTCTAAAGGTGCCCTGGAGCTAGAGATTCAATTTACCTAAGAACTGACAGGGATAAAGAAAGAAAAATGTGTTTCCTTACTTCCCTACAAAAAGTGCAACTTCCTTGTCATGGTCAGTTCATATTTTGACTTTTGATACTCTGCAAACATGAAGCAATAAGAAGCTAGGAAGGGGATCTGGAGAAAGAAGAGATTTTCCAAATACCTAATATAACATACAGCACTGCCAGTTAATTCTACTAGAATCTGTATATGTATTTATGACTGAAGTGTAGATTTATATTGTTTCTACTTCAGGTGAATTTAATGCATGTACATTTAATACACGTGCTTTTAAAATTTTCCCAATTTGCAAGGTCTTACTAGCTTTTCACATATATTATCCTTCCAAGAGGTGGTGAAGCTTTGCTTTCAACAGGTGCCTCTCAGTGTGCCAATCTAAATACAATTATCCTCAGTTTGCCAAGTCTGTGCTGGTAAAAGACTAAGACTACTTTGAAATACCACATGAGTGAAAATACAGGTGGATGGGAGAAGAGTTTGAATGGAGTAATAAACAACAAAGGGGTTTGGTTGCCAACCATACTAGAACAAATGAGGCTAAGGAAAATGGACATATTAGTCCTCATGTTACCCCACTGGAAATACAGGGCAGAGGCAATATGCTGAAATCATAATTTTTTTGCAGTCCTACTTTCCCATACTCTCAGAGCGTATCTGCCATGCTTTGAAATAAAAGACACTAGATGCTTCGACTAGATGCTCTTGAGAGGTCCTTTCCCATCCAAACCACTCAGTGATCTCGTGCTACAATATCACTGCCAAAAAATGTGGCAATTTTCAAAAAGGTATAACACAGTGGGTAAACCCAGAGTTCCCCACCAAAAGGTACAGGAAAATGCTGAAGACACACATTATGCTTTAACTTACACATCACTGAGGAAAGCTGCCACCCTCGTGGTCCATCTGTGAGTCCATAAGAAGTGTACATGAACATTTCTTTGCCTATGCCAGACTCACTAGCCAAGTGCTTAAAAGAAGCAGGCTAACGTGAAACAACACCATTTGGTTCCTATGAGCTGCCATCCTTCCTCCAGGGCTCTGAGACCCCAGGACTTCAACAGCTGCTCCCTTCCTTTTCTTTCTTGATGCTTTATTATAGCAGTGAGGCAGCAGATTGCTTATGTTCCATTTTTCTCGGACTCTTTTTGAAGTGTGAACGAGCATGTGTGTATGTTGAAGTGATAACATAAGGCTAAGCCACATTTCTAGTAAATATTACTTTAAATTATCCTGGAATGTAAAAGTGCACTTGTGCAAAACTAGCTGCCCAAAAAGGGAAGTGGAGCTGTAAACCATCCTGCCTGCAAGACGCGCGTGTCAGCAGGAGAGTCACTGTATAAGGGCATGTTTACAGGTCGCATAATCCTGCATCTACACTGAAACTCACGCCCTGAAACACAGAACATGCATGCACTTGATTGCAACAACCTCCCCTCTGGGGGCCTTTACATTGCGGCAGGAAACCAGCTGAGACCTTGTGGTCAGAGGAGACCAGATTCCTGGGTGAACTGGAGCCTTTTCATCTTTGTAACGTGGGTAGGGAGCAAACAGGAGCCTCTGACCTGTGACCGATCGTGGGAGCACTGTGAACCTCATCACTAAAGCCACTTTCAAGGTGCATTTAAGCCAGTCTCTCATTTTGACTCACTCCAGCAGTGACAGGCAAGACATGGTCCAAGCTCAGTTCCTGACCTCCCCTCAGCTGAGATGCAGTGGACCACGCCAGCCCTTTTCACTGCTTTCAGAACAAGATCAAGCAGTCAAAGAAGCTGCTTAGAAGGCTCAGCTTCTGAACATGCAGCAAGGGCAGCCAAACCCAGGAACATCTGCTACAGCCACATAAACCTGTGCATTGGCAGCAGTAACGACATGTGGGTAATTATCAGTAAGGCTGATGCCATGGGTAAACCCACAAGCAGAAGTCAATGAAAAATTAAGGTACAAACCAGCTGTTTCTCTTTCATCCACAGGCACAATTTAGCAATGCCAGAATGTTGTGCAATGCCTGCAATGCTGATAGAGAGGGAGGCAGGACCGAGCTGGGCAACAAGGCTGATGGCATCCCTGAATCGGGCGACATTGGTGTATAACCTCTGACAAATCATTTAACTCTCCCAGCCTTTGGGCTCCTTTTTGTTCAGGTCTCTCTCTATTAAATTTGTAAGACAGGAACAGTGTCACTAGACTTGGTCATTGCCCTGCTTTAACCAGGTCCCTCTTTTGGCTGTAACTGCTACTGTAATGCAGATAAGTGAAACAAAAATGTGAAGTTTTGGAAGCTGTGACTTTTGGGGACATAAACGCACACTTTGCATTCCCCTGCAGAGCTGGGATCTTGCAGTGACACAAGACTTACCGCTGCACAGCTTTCCTTTGGGCAAGTCTGATTTTGGAAGTGAAGTTATATTATTGGGAGTGGGAGGAGGATAATTTTGTGATAAACAGAAAGAAAGCCACCAGAAATGGTAAAACTTGGGTGAAATACACATAGAAGCAAATGGAGGCAGTGCAGAGGTGCAGTACGACCCTGCAACCCTACAGGAAAATAGTGAGGCTCAAGAACAAAGAACGTGTTTGGGATTGGGGAGGGGAATAAATCACTGAACTGCAATCTGAAATGGTAGGCTCTTCTGTTCAAAATAGCACTCCAGCATCCTCAGCCTCCATCAGATGCCCTGCATGCCATACCAGGCTGAATTCAACCATATGTTTGTAGCTAAGATATGAAATTCATTTGTCAAGTCCCAGGAGGTTTTGGCAACTTGTCCTGTACTATATGTGTGGTCTGCTACACTGAAACAGGCATGCAGAGCATTGCAGTGGGTACATCTATAGGATCCAGAGGCAACACAACTGACAATTTCCCTGCTCTGACTTTCAGTGCTGCGTAAGAATTAATGGAGGTAGAGAGGACTAAAGTTGAAGACATTTCGGCACAGTTGCTAGGTTTAAAGCCTGCTGAAGGCTGCTGGAATGTGCTATAAATACGTATCCAAACTCCACGCCAACTGTGTAAACTCAGAAGCTGCCTACTTCATTCAGGGACTTCATACCCACCAGAGAGTCCAGAGCCTGTTAGACTAGAAGCAAGTCAGTGGCTGGCAAGATTCACATTTTCCTTGTGAAAGGGGATATGGAAGATGCTAGGACAACGCAGAGGCGGATGACGGAGAGGAAATGATTTCTCGGGTGTTTTGAAAGGAAACACATAATCCTGAGTTATGGGCCCTCATTAATCAGGTGGAGGAGTCCCGAGGTGCCAAATCTCACAAGAGCAGCCAGAGGACCTGGAGTCATTCGCAAGCTCTTCCTAACTGAACTCTTGGCATGACATTTGCCCAACTTCTAGATCCCAGTTAAAATTTCACCACCTTGGCCTGTGAACAGTTGCCTAGTGGCTCTGATTCAAGCTGATTCACAACAAAAGATAAATCTTTCTGCTCCTAAAGGAAAGCAAAAAGCTGCCGAGAAATTCTTTAATTCCTCTGCCTTGTGCAATCTTGGGCCGGTAGTTTTTTGCAGCAAGAAGAGGTCAGTCCCATTTCTTCACCTTCTGAACTCACATCCCTCTTCCCTGCTATGTAGGTTGCTATGAGCAGTCCTGTCACCATATTTTTTAATACAGCAAGCCGTGCAGAAAGGAGGTAGAACTGTCAGAAAGAGGCTTCTGTAAAGTTTCCGATACGTAGCACAAAGATGTCATTTGAACAGAGATGATCAGGCTGCACGAGAGGAAAAAGCCAGGATCTCTCTCAGCCTAGCAAGATCATCTCATCTTCAGAAGGAACTTCAGCTCATGAAGGTCAGGAGCTGAACCTTTTCCATGGTGAAAACAAGACCCATGAAACTATGGTTACATGGAGAAGTGCTGTGATTTGCCCCCCAGTGACAATGCAAAGCCAGCTCTAAGGCTGCATGCAGACACCTCTGGTCCTCCAGCAACCTCGCTGCCCCTTAAGTTGGGTCCTTGGAGACTCTTCGGTTCTTCTAAGATGTATAAACTCAAATAGTCCAAACTTGGACAGCCTGCACATTTGGGGCTAGATTGAGTTCTCATGAATGCCGGACTGTCTCCATTTCAGCTGAGGATGGCCGAAGACACAGGCACTCAGCACTCCTCATCCTCCAACCCCAAATGTATATCCAACCTTCAGGCTCCAGAAGACACATCAAACCCCTCTGTGAAAGCAACATCCTGGCAAAACCAGCTGCAGCTTCTTCCAGGTAATATGGAAGATAGCCATGTTTCAAATCTGCCCACCAAACCAGCCAGAAAATCATAATAGCGCCATCCAGGAAAGATTTACCCATAAATGTGTAAAATGCATTTCCCTACTTTGGCATGGGGAAAGCAGCAGATGAGATAAAAAGAAAGTTTTACAAGGTATGTGCCACACTCCAGACTATGCTGTGATACAGCAACAGCTCTGAGCAGAAATCCACTTATTTACAGGTGGCTTCTAGTGCTATACCGTAGCGGTTGTTTCCCACCTCCCACTCATGTTATATTTATGTGCTAAGTTTGAAACACCCACTGATCCAGGCTGAGGTTGTAGGATGCTCTGGGGAGCAGCAACAGCCATTTCCCTCTGCTTGTCCCAGCATAGCAAGGGGGATAGGCAGCGTCAGGCTGGCCCTTCGCTGGGGCAGCTCAGCATCATCCCTGTGTGTGTGGACCAAGGTACTCACCTAAGAGCTGCACTCCGCGGGTGAGTCCGTAGACATCGATCAAAGCCCAGAGAGGCTCTGCTGTTCTCACCCCACTGAAGAAAAGCATCGCAGCAGAGTCGTTCACCCGATAGAAAACCCGTCCCTTCTTGTCCACCCAGAAGGCTATGATGTTTCCCTCATTCGCAAACTCTTCTGGCAGAGCCTTGGCCCAAAAACCACTTTGGGAAACCAAGTCAGGGCACGCGTACTTCGGCAGAGTGTCAGGGTTAATCCTTGATGGATCCTTGGAAGTAAACCCGAGTCGAAGAGCCCCACTCCAGCAACACTGCTTTTTAGTGATCTGCAAAGATAACAGCAGCAATAACAGCATTTGGCTCTTGAACATCTATTTACACACTACAGGCTCTATGCCACTGAGCACGGATGGCCACCACACAGATGAGCCCACTAGATTTAGGAAACATTTTACCCACCAAACACTGCTGTAGCTTTTCCAGCTGCGAGCAGCAATGCTGCACACTTGGGATGCAATGCACATATTATCAAAAAAAAAAAAAAAAAAAAAAAAAGAAATCAAATTAAATCTATGCGGAGAGGTGAAATGTAATTACAGCTGCATGATGACTCATTTCTATTTCTAGGGTAATTCCTTTTGGCCTAAAAATCATCCTCTCACAAAGTGTGCCAAAAATGGCCATAAGAGCTTTTATCTCAGCACCTGCAGCAGCAGAGTTCTTTGCCTGTGGTGCTCGGAAGATGGGGTCTCTCATGACCTGAGGGAAAAGCACTGGATCCAGAATCACAGTTAGCACCACAGGGTTTTCCCAGCCTAGTAACAGACAGTCTTACCCCTGTTTAGTTTGTCAGATTGGATGAAATCACAGCCTTGCAGCAGAGAACTTATGTGTGGGAAAGCACAATTTAAAGTATTTAACTATATTAAATACACATTTAGGTGTCAAAGACAGATGTTGTCTTATGATTGGGGAAAACCTATCTATTCCAGCTGTGAGCGGTGTTTTTCAAGGTATGTTGTGCACACTGTATGTGGTTACCCAGTATGTCTGGGGTCAGGAACATTTGCTACAGTTTTGGGGAGGGTGAGTGTGTCATATTCACCCTTCTGTACCCAAGAGACAGCAGGACAAAGGATCAGAGATGCCTCCAGAGCCATTGGCTTCTTCTCGTACTAACTGAGCCCTGGAATGAAGGGGATCTTAGGGGAGCAGGCAGCGGATCCTAAACACTTGCAGTACATCCGAAACACTACCCAGTTACAAGGTCTCTTTCTTCCCGTGGAAGCAAGGAGTCTTTCAGGGTTAGTATGGTCCCCAGATGGAGATGATGACCTTGGAGAATTTTTTTCTCTTACTTTTTTGTTAGAGTATGAACCTGCTGGGAATTGTTCCTCTCAAAGAGATTCATAGCATCCACACTACAAAATTAAAGACCTGAGGATGCTGAATCCAAACTTGATGCGGGGCTGGGACAATTCCTGCATGCCAGGTGACACATAATTGGTGTTTCTATTCATGCACTGAACCTGCAGGAACATGAGAGCACCTGAGATAGCCCTCTTCCATCAAGGCTTGGCAGCCTCATGCAGTTCCACTCTTGGCTGGAGACTAAGAGCAGAAACATGGATAGGCACCACCTACCAGATGTCACACAGAACTTGCTACTTTACTGTAATTTCTTGCGCAGCCAAAGTACTAGTGGCTTGGATGAGTGGCAATGCCAGAGACTGCACTGTCCAGGACTGCAGGACTTTGTCCTCAAAAGTCTAGCAGCAGCTCCTTGTGTCCCAGCTTGGAAGCACAGGATTTTCCAAGACATTTTATTTGGACTCCTGAACTCTCCTCTAATTACATCTGCAAATATTGCATTTTTCCTTCACATGTTCCTCTCCAAGGCAAATCTGTAACACGTTCCCTTGAGGGCACAAATAATCTCACAACAAAAACATTGACCAAAGCCCAGAGATTTCTGTTTTATAATTAAAGTATCAGAGAAAATAACTTGGAGCTTCAGAAAAGTTATCAACAGACAGTTCCTCAGTTAAGTGAGTGCTGCTTTTTATCCCTACTCAGTCCAGCCAAGCACCTAACTGTTTACGTGAAACAATGGAGCACTGACCTCAGTCCCAGGAACCCTGGGGAGCTCCTCCTTGTGGGATGGACATTGGGGTGGCACTAAAAAGGACTGAAGCAGACTTGCTATTCAATATGCCTGGCCAGGATGGGATGGGAACATGCATGTCCCCAGTGGAAGGAGGATGGAGGGGGCATGCATTTAAAAAAATGTGGAATATATGCATGCTCCAAGAAGCAGCCTGTATTATTTACTGCAGCACATTTACTGCAAGCCCTAAAAGCTTTTGGGTCTGAGATAAATATGGCCTCGTTGTTATTTGTACAATTTACTCTTTCACAGTCTCTTGCCAATACTTCACAGCAATCACAGGCCACATGAAGTAAATATTCATATGGTAATTGAGGCTGCACATGTTCCATGTATTAATCAGCACCTATAAACAGTTCTCAATACAGTCTGACCACAGGCAAACTAATATCCAAATTAAAATCTAGTACAAAGCCTGCCAAGAATTAGACACAGCTGGACAAAGGCTACACAGTTTTGCTAAAAAAGGCAATGATTAATGATGGACAAAATTCTCTCTTCAGCAGCCACTGCTAGCAAAAAAACTTGGGAGGTCCACTGGGTACCAGAAGGGGAGGAAAAGATATAATCTGCATCCAAACTGCTAAGCCATGGCTGCTTCCACAGACTCAGGCTCCTGCTCTTGTGCCTTGTGCCACCTTTGACAACCTCACCCTGCTACCCTGCTCCCCAGCAGTGCCCTGCGTAACACAGAACAAACCATACTGGGACATATATCTCAGAGGCAAAGAAAAAGGAAATTTTCCCAAACCCCATGTAGCTCTAGCTGCCTGATCATAGAATCACAAAAAGGCTTGAGTTGGAAGGGACCTTAACAACAACCCCCTGACACGGGTAGGGACACCTTCCACTAGATCAAGTTGCCCAAAGCCTCATCCAGCCTGGCCTTGAACCCCTCCAGGGATAGGGCATCCACAACTTCTCTGGGCAACATGTTCCAGTGCCTCACCACCTTCATCATAAACAATTTATTTCTAATATCTAATCTAAATCTACCCTCTTTCAGCTTAAAACCATTACCCCTCATCCCATCACTACACTCCCTGCTCGAGAGTACCTCCCCATCTCTCCTGTAGCCCCCTTCAGGTACTGGAAGGCTGCTATAAGGTCTCCCTGGAGCCTTCTCTTCTCCAGGCTGAACAACCCCAACTCTCTCAGCCTGTCCTCATGTGGGGGTTGCTCTAGCCTCTGATCACTGCTGTGGCCCTCCTGGTGGCATTCCCAAAGCTGCAAAGAAAACTCAGAATAAAATCCAAGATACAACTACTAAGAAATAGAGTAGTATCTCCTGACTTCTAGTTTTTCAAAGGGAGTTTAGACTTTATAGGACCTGAATGGTTGGGTTCATGGTTATTCTTTAGCTAGTGAGAAAGTTTAAGATGCTGTTTTACACAGGCACACACAATAACAAGACAATTGCAGGATGGACTTGATCAGGAAAGCAAAGACGCTTTCACATTTCCATCCATCCCTAGAGTGCTGAAGCCTGTTGATTACTCCCATGAGATCTTTCCACTAGATCCAGCAGGAGCTCTGGTTGTAAATCCCTTGTGCAGAGATGAAAGATTTGCATGCGTATTCTTCACATATGTTATGCAAGCTAAAATCCTAAAATACACAGTAATAAACAAGTGTGAATTTCCCAAGATAGCTACGTTGTTTCAGAATGAGGAAGGAATAACCCAGAATCTTTGCCTAAATCACTAAACACACTCACATCTTTGATGGTGTTTTCAGAAACAAAACAATGCTTTCATCTCCTCCCAAATCATTTTTTGCAGTTGTTTGTCCAAAAGGCTGGCCAACGTGGAAAAAAGATCGCATTAGGCAACGTGAAGGAATCCTGCTGGGCTTCTCGTCTGAAGGGAAGCAGTAAGAGCTCCACAGGGAACAATACAAACCTGTAGGAGGGATTTTCTACCTATGGGCTTGAGCCTGAAATCACTGAAATCTCTCTATATTTTCAAAAGGAGGCATATTCCCTGTTTCTTGCTCCTTTGCTGGCTGTGAGGGAAGATGCAGGGAAGCCTGATCCAGTGCTGTAGTCCTGGGACCTTTAGTGATGGGCAACGGCAGGACCATGCAGACTCAGCAGCTGTATGCAAAACAAACCTCCTGAAAAACTCCTTGGGCAAAAATGAAGGACTTGCTGGTGGATCTTTCATGTGTGCCATGAACTAAAGTCTGCCAAAGATGACAACCTTCTTCGTGCAATTAAATGCACAATCAGCTCCAAATGGAAAAATTCAGTCCCACAAACTAGAGGGCATAAAGACTGGAAAATATCTGTGGATTAAGTGCAAAGGCCCCCAATCTCTTTAAAGGTGCTGAGAGCCTAAAAAGTGGTTCAGTTCCTAAGGGGTCTGATGAATTTCTTCATCAGGAAGCAGTGCCCAGCGCACATGGAGGCATGCTGTCTCAGAGGAGCTGAACTTCCTGTGCCAACTGCAGCACAAAGGGTACCAGCTCCATCCTCGTGGTTACCACAGACACAAAGGGGGTGACACCAGCCTCTGACAGCGAGAAAAATGTGAGACCTGCAATGTTTTCTCTTCTGACCTTAATGCTATCAGGCGACTGATTCAACAAAGCCAGAAAGATCCTTTTCTTAGATGGCAACTGTGACCACGCTGACCACTCCTTTCATCCCGTCAGCAAAACCCTTTTGTCTCACACACCAAGCACAAGCAGGCACCTGCACTTCCAGGGCCTTTTCACCTCTTATCTGTTGGCTGTGGAGAGGCTGCCTCCCACCTCCAAGAGACCACCCCTCATTGCTGCCTTGTTTACAGGAAGAATAGGGTTCTGTTTGGAACCGAAAGCATTAACTAACTCCTCACCTCCTCTCAGCCTGTCCAGTAAAACTCCTTTGCAGGATGCACACAAAGCCTAGAGGACATTGGCTAGAGAGATACGTAAGCTGATGCCTTTCAAACTGACCGATACAGCCCTTGTTTGTTGCTGTTTTCCAAGCAGTCTCAACTTGACCTGTTGTTCCTTGTCCAACATCCAGATAAGCTCTTTTGGAGCATGGACTTTCCTTTTCTTCAGCAGTCTGTACTGATGGCTCCAAAAAAGATGATGACAAAAGCAGAGGTACCAACAAAGATGACAGACCTTTAAGGGTAAGATCTAACTACTGTGTTTTTCAAGGAAGGGATGAAGATCTGGTGCAAGCACTAAGCCCTGGTACACCCCAACATTCATTCACAGCAGCTCGCATGGCAATAAGGGAAGGGATCATTTACTCACCTTAAGCCTGACTTGTTCATAAATAACGATGGGCCTGTTGCTGAAGGTGATGGCATTGCAGAAGCTAGCCTGGCGTTTCACTGCCTTCTGTGTTGTGTCCATGATGATCTGGGATCCCTTCGTGTGGGGATGGAAAAGCAGAGGGCTGATGGATAATGCTCCACACTGGGGGATGGGGAGACAGTGCTTCTGTTTGTGGTGGCATCGGTGGGAGGAAGCTGAAAATGACCCACCTATGGAATCTGAAAGCAGAATGGGGGGAAAAGGGTTTAAAATCTGCTGTGAGTAGTAAGTAAAAAAACCTTCAATGTAAAAAAAAAGCAGGGGTAGATCAAAATAAAAGTTAGTCAAATCCCCACTCCGTAAATCCCTAAGAGTTTCTAGAGCATCTTGAACAATAAAAGCCCACAACGATACAGAAGGATCCCATCTGGACAGTCTGATAGTACAGAGCATGACACGGAAAATACAGCTGAGCACTGAATTCACCAGCCATTTTGAGGCCACACATCAGAAGAGAAGGCAAGAGTTGGTTCCAAAACTGGGGCAAAGCATGTGTGAAGTTGCTGCATCAAAGCTGCCACATTTAGGGAAAATCTTCCACTTCCAGAGGACTCCCACACAACTTGACCATTTCTCTCACTCCTCCTTTGCAGCAGCAACTCCATCAATACTTGCCTCCATGTGTCCTATCCAACCTCGCTCAGTGCCAACTCAGACACATACGTTGCTAATTTATATTCAGGCACCACTCAGCAGTAACCCACCTGGATTCCTGCAGCAACCACCATTCATTCTCCTCTCTCCTCCACTGATGGGAACCTCAGCTGAGACCCCACTTATCATGAAGGCATTGATCAGCATGCTATGATTACGGCAAGGAAAGTGAAGAGGGAGAAAGACTATGAAGCAGGGAGGAGATGACGTCTTTCTCTAACCAAGGCCCTACACAGAAAGTCAATGCACGATCAACACAGTCACGACAGCAGCTTTGTTCGTGAATGAATGTATGTGTCAGTTTCTTTTCAACAGGGAGCCTGCAGCAGTTCAAGCACAAAACAATCATCATACTGAACACAAGTCATCTGCTTCCTTTTCCTTGTAGCACATACACACTACATTATGCACATATGTTTGGGAGGAGATACTTGTAGATTAGAAACAGAGTATCAACAGAATAAAGGGTTATTCCATGATAGATTCAGGGATGCAACAAAAACAAATATGACCTTAGCAATGTGCCAGTTTGCACTATAAAGACGCATGACTAAACTGTATGGTTAAAACCTCTATTCCTCAAACAAGCAAACCATAGAAAACAATCATACATATTCTTCATACACATTAATTGCTGACAGTTATGTCTTTATACAGCTACTATAAAATAATGCTTACACCTCTAATGCAATTCTTGGCTTTGCAATAAAAAACCTGGACCCTATTCCTCTCAGGGAAGTTTTACCTTGTAGCTCCATGAAGTTGTAATGGCACATCATCAGGGTGAGCCTGAATAACTACAAACAGTACTTAAAATTCTGGTTTCTGATTAGAAGATTTAAATTCAACTTCAGCATCAGTCACTCTGGCCTTCCCTCATCTCCTTGCTGGTTTTTTTCCTCGCATTTTCAGCAGCAGTGCTATCCCTTCAGAACACAGCAGGAAGGCCAAACAGGACTTCAAAAACTTTAATCAATGCTTTAAGGGAGAGAGAAACGAACTGGGAGTTATTTGATACTAAAAATTATGTGGAATATAATCACAGAATAGAATCATTAAGGTTGGAAAAGACCTCAAGGATCATCAAGTCCAACTGTCAACCCAACACCACCTAACTCACTGAACCATGTCCCTAAGCACCACATCTACACGTTTCTTGAACACCTCCAGGGATGGTGACTCCACCACTTCCCCGGGCAGCCTGTTCCAATGCCTGATCACTCTTTCAGTGAAGAAATTTTTTCCAATATCTAGCTTAAACCTCCCCTGGCGCAACTTGAGACCATTTCCTCTTGTCCTATCACTTGTTACTTTAGAGAAGAGGCCAGCACCCACCTCACTACACCCTCCTTTCAGGTAGTTGTAGACAGTGATAAGGTCTCCTCTCAGCCTCCTCTTCTCTAGACTAAACAACGCCAGCTCCCTCAGACGCTCCTCATAGAACCTGTGCTCCAGACCCTTCACCAG